TACTCGAAAGTCCCCAGGCCCTCGGGGTCGGAGTCAGCCAGCAGCCCTGTGATCATCTTGCTTCCCTCAAGCGTCCTCACGTGCTCCTGCAGGCTCGCCTGACCTTTCTTCAGCGCCAAGATGATCTGAATGGCGTCTAAGTTCCTCAGGTTCCACGCCAGCTGCAGGGCATCCCACCCGTGGAAGTCTTGGATCGCGTAGTCCAGGTCCGTCTCCTCCAGCAACTTGCGGATCACGGGGAAGTTTCGCTCCCCGATCGCGTAATGGAGGCTGGTCCATCGGAAGGAGGGGAAGCAGACAGTGAGGTTGACCTTGGAGCTCTTGATCAAGTAGTCGATGCTGTTTCTGTGCAGAATCGCCTCCGCCATGGCTGTCCGACCCTCTGCGTTCAGCAACTGAGGGGCGATGCTCGCGTGCGCTAGCAGCAGCTCCATGGCATGGTCATGTCCCCTCTTGGCCGCGAGATGCAGCGCCGTGTCAAGCGTGTCAGCCGTCTGTATGTTGGGGTTCAACTTCCAGTACTTGCTGAGAAGCAGCTCAAGGCTCTCGTGGTGCTTGCTCGATCTTTGAGACACGTGCGCATCGCCCTTGCCCTGCTCAAGGAGTATCGCCGTGTGCAGAGCTGTCAACCCGCGGTCATTGAGCTTGTTCGGATTCAACTTGGGTACAGTGCTGACGAATCTGAGGCTGCTGATGGCGGTAGATGACATCATATGATGCAAGATGGTGTTCTGATCTGAGTCTAGCATGTTCACATCAGCTTTTCTCTTGACCAGGTACTCGACGCCCTCCACGTTGTCTGACGCTGCTGCCACGAACAAGAACGGGATGTTCTCATCACTGACATCGTTCGGGCTCACATTCAGACTCTCAATAATCTCTTCCATGACCTGAAGATTTCCTACTCGCAGCGAAAGATCAAATTCCACGTTCCTCATCGCCAGGATTTTAATTTGGCCCGACTCATTTTGAGCCTCCGTGAGAAGTTTTCGAGCTCTTGTCAGATGTTCCTGCACATCTCGTGCGAGCTTGTAGCTCTCTTGTACTTGTACATCATCCCCTGTGAAGCAAGCCTGCCTCAAGTTCATCGCCTTCAGCTTGTCAACCGCGATACTCTGCTGGACTGTCCCGTCGAGCTCCTTGTGGAGGAACTCGATCTCGGACTTCAACTCTCTCGCGAGCCTCCTCTGCGCCTCCACCAGCTGCTCCTCCTCGTCGTCAGCATTGACAAGCCCATCAGCGATGGACGCGAATCGGAAGGCCTGCCAGAGCTGCTGGATCGTCGCGTAAGCATCCTTATAGGAGTTGTCGTCGATCAAGCTGCGAATCTGAGCCTCCAGGGCCTTGAGCATGCTGGTGAACTTCTCCATCAGTTTCTGCTTCAGACTCTCTGCTTTCAGCACGAGATCCTGTCCTGCCAGCCCGACCTTGGGCTTGAAGAGAAGAGCAGCCTGCGGCAGGAAGCGAGTCAGAGAGGGAGAAGGACAACATGTCAAAGGCCCTCACCGCGATCTCCTTGGCGCAATCGAAGAAGTTCTCCTCGTCGAGAGAGATCCTCGCTCTCGACACCACCTTGCTCATCGCGCACACGTCCTCCTCCAGCACCTTGATCCTCTTGTCCAGCTCCTCCAGTGCTGGAAGCATCCCTGGTTTATGCGCGGCAGCTCCACAGCTCTGGTACAGCTCGAGAGCGTTGTTCCAGAACCGCCTGAAGGTCGTCAGCGAGCCGTTCCTAGCAGCGTCTTCAGCTTGCTTGTGGCAAGAAACCGCCATCTCCAGCTGGTACACGTCTCTCTCCACCTTCTTGGCGAAACTCTCGAGGCTCACCCGGTCGTTCTGACCTGCGGCCCCGGCCTGCACAAACGCGTCTCGAGCCTTCGCCAAGAGGGTCTGCGCCTCTTTCAGCCTGCCCTCCCCCCTGTATCGCTGAGCCTCCTGCAGCGACTTGCGCCCGAACTCACAGCAGTACCGCTCGTCATGCTGGCTTCGGATCAGCAGCCCGCACAGCTCCGACAGCTCCTCGGCATTGAGATCGCCCGTCGCCGACATGCTGATCCGATCGTCTAGCTCATCCAGCACCTGATCCTCGAAGTTCTTGGCAGGCTCGGAAGTGACGTGGTAAGTTCCTTCGGATACGAACAGAGAGGGGGATGCTCCGAAGGCACCCAGAGGCTTTGAGATCATCCTGTGCTTCATCTTCTGGTACACCATGGAGAAGTTCATGGTCTTTTCGATCGAGAACTTCTCTTCCGCCTTTGCTGCTTCACTTCCGTTTGTCTCATTGAGCCGATGCTCATCTGAGATGTCCTCTACCACTGGCAGACGTTTGTTCTCCTTCAATTCTTTTAAGAATTCTGAGATGTTCCAGTCCATCTTCATGACTACAGCCATCAACTGACGGAAAGTTTGACCATAGATCACATGAGAGTTGCTGCTCTGAGCATTGAGAAACAAGGTGATGGCGTCTATGATAGCCTGGTTGTTAGTAAACTTCTGTTTGCAAGCAGAGATCTCATGTTCGATTTCTCGTTTCTTCTTCTCTATCGCAGGCTTCTGCTCCCCCGACACAATCCTTTCCGCTTCTACCGCCTCCTCAAGCTCCCGCGCTGCGTCCTCCTGCGCAACCTTGGCCTCTTTCAGTTTGCGGTTGGCACCGGGCCAGCCGTACTGTAGCGCGCTCTTGGCTTCAGCGACCTTCTTCTCTGCGATCAACTCTGCTTCATCTGCTTCTTGCCTCTCCTTCCTCGCCTTGTCGATCCTAGTCTGAAGCTGCTCTAGTTGGCTCACAGTCTTTGCAAGGGCTACTTCCTTCTCCTTCACATCCGCCTCGATCCTTGAGTTGGAATGCTTCAGCGTCTCCAGCTCTGTCGTCAGCCACAGGTGAGAACAAAACTCTCCGAAGGCTCCTTCAATATGGCTGCTCAACCCGTCGAACTCGTGTAGGAACAAGTAGATCTTTCCGATCTCCTTCGCTATCTCTGCAGCGAGCTGGTACTCAGTCAACCCACGAAGCGCGACTATCTCTGAGACCGATCGTGATATGACGATGCGTTGTCTCTCAGAGCTGGAAGGCAACGCGGACCTTGGAATACCTCTTTCGCTGTGATACTTCAAGCTATGTAGTTGTCTTGCCTGTAACTGAGGGAGCTTGAAGAAGTTTCTGACGTGTATGGCCTTGGTTGGTGTATCTAGTGAGTGAGCGTTGAGAGAGCTCTTCGTTCTCATCGCGATGTCCTCTAGCACATGAGCCGGCTCAAGTCGGATCGGAATGTCAAACCTGCAGACATCGATCTCAAACTTATACGCCAGCAACTTCTCGACTTTCAGTTTGATCTGAGACGCCTCCTCATCTAGTTTGATTCTTCGCTTCAACGGGCTCTGTTGATCGGATGATGAGATCTCTGCAAGGTTGTACATGTCCTTTCTTCTCTTCGAACCTGCTGCTCCATCCCCGCGCTGCGCGTTAGCGATTCTGATGACGGAGAAACTTCTTGCGCGTCTCTGAACGTCCATCAGGCTCCCTCGCTTCTTCCACCAGTCATCTTCAGCCTCCTCCTCTGCTGCTGCAGCACTTGTACGTCCGTCCTCCTCCTTCTCTCCCTCCTCTACCATCTCTGCCGGCAGAGGAACGGCTCCAGCACTGACGCTTCTCCGCTTCCCTCGCTTGACTGGCTTCAGCTTTTCCATGGCTGTCTGAGCTCGCAGGCTCTTGTGAGGATGGGCAGCAGGAAGGAAGACAGGAGTTCCCATCTTGTACTTGAGCCCTGCTCGCCGCAGCAGCAGCTGCGTGTACGAGGTAGCCTCCTCCTCCTCCGCCATGTTCAGCGCAACCCCGGGTTCGTCTTTCGGAACACCCACCCCAGTCAGTTAGTACGAAAACGGGAGAGGAGGGGGTGGTCAACGGACCTTCCAACGGCTGCCCTGGAGGCAAATCGGGGCGATAGGAGAGAATGAGGTGATCGTGACAAGATGAGATGTATGATCGTGACTAGATGAGATGTATGATCGTGACTAGATGAGATGTATGATCGTGACTAGATGAGATGTATGATCGTGACTAGATGAGATGTATGATCGTGACTAGATGAGATGTATGATCGTGACTAGATGAGATGTATGATCGTGACTAGATGAGATGTATGATCGTGACAAGATGAGATGTATGATCGTGACTAGATGAGATGTATGATCGTGACAAGATGAGATGTATGATCGTGACTAGATGAGATGTATGATCGTGACTAGATGAGATGTATGATCGTGACTAGATGAGATGTATGATCGTGACTAGATGAGATGTATGATCGTGACTAGATGAGATGTATGATCGTGACTAGATGAGATGTATGATCGTGACTAGATGAGATGTATGATCGTGACTAGATGAGATGTATGATCGTGACTAGATGAGATGTATGATCGTGACAAGATGAGATGTATGATCGTGACTAGATGAGATGTATGATCGTGACTAGATGAGATGTATGATCGTGACTAGATGAGATGTATGATCGTGACAAGATGAGATGTATGATCGTGACAAGATGAGATGTATGATCGTGACTAGATGAGATGTATGATCGTGACAAGATGAGATGTATGATCGTGACAAGATGAGATGTATGATCGTGACTAGATGAGATGTATGATCGTGACTAGATGAGATGTATGATCGTGACTAGATGAGATGCTTGGAGTTGCTGACCAGACTTCGTCGTGGTCAGAGTTAGGCTTATCAGTTCTGAGCTTACACAGCTCTATTTCTCGAACCTCATCATGTACAAGAGGAAAATCGAAGAGCTCGAGGAGGCAGATTGAATGATTAGCTGTTTGGTGTCTTTAGCAACACCATGACTTGTACAGTCAAGAAGAAAGATAGGTAGCGACATTCGTGCTATCTAGAAGAATCTCCGAAATTTCTTCACGGGTGGGTCTCCACATCAAGGTGCGCTGTTTGAAGGCGCTGGAGTATGATTCCTGCGATGGTTCTAAGGGAGCATCTAAGATGTGAGATAGATGTTGACCTCGTGGAAGCCAAGGTTGCGAAACAGATTGAGAGATGCTTCGTTGTCTTCATCAATCTTTGCTGCAAACTCCTGACAAGAATCGTATTCAGACATGCATCTCTTCAAACATACGATTTTCGTGTTACCTTCGCTCCTAATCTTCTGTATGCATAATGCATGAACAATCTGATTCACACTTGAGAGATCGAGCACAATACAACATCACTGGAGGAACCTGAGTGCTTCTTTTGCAAGTCCCTTGCGGCGATATTCCTTCTCCGCGATCATAACGTTGATTTCACCATGATACTGCATCATGTGTAAGCTCCAAGGAGAACCAAAACAAAAAACCTTCTCGTCTTCATAGAAGAACATGTTAATGTCTCCGATCATATGCTTAGACTCCTTATCTAGGATGATGAAGGTAGACTGGAGAAACATCAATCACCACCAACCATCGCTCTGTTCACCTTGTCGTACTCGTCCTCCCACTTCTTCTGCATCTCAATCTCCTGCAGAGCATCTGAACTCACTCCCACCTTCACCTCCCAGCATCCACAAGGACCACCTCATCCAGGCTCAACGGCTCGCTCCCCGTGAACTTGAGAATTTCCTCGTCCTGCAAGAAGCTGCTCGCTCACGCTCTCCTCCCGTCTACCTCCGCACCTTCATCCACTCATGGTATCTCGCCACATGCTCCGGTGAGTAGGGCACCAGGAGGATCTGATCAAGTCAAGACGTCAGCCACAACTCCCAGACTGGTCTTCTCCCACATTTTGGCCCACGATCATCAACTTCTTGTCTTGTATCAGAGCTTCCTCCCTCCAGCCCTTTGGAACATTTTCAGTTTCAAGTTGTTCAGATCTATGAGAGCCCGGTCTCACCTCGATGTCTTTGCTCAAGAACATGTGCAGGTCGTGTTCTTTGAGTACATCACAACTCAACGACCTGGGAGGGTTAGACGTCAAACATGACGATCATCCTTGTACCATCGCCCTTCTCTCAGGAGCTGAAGGCTGTTGTCGGCATCTGAGCTCTTTGCATGCACTCAGAGGACAAGGAGCAACCTTGAGGGTTACCTCGATCCCGTCCTCTCTCACCGCTCCCTCGACAAACCAGTCCTCTGCAAACCAGTGAGACGATATGACCTCATGAGCTTCCTCGGTGCCTCACCCAAGATGGATGGCAGCCAGTGTCGATAATGTAACGGCATGCTCTGATACGGCAGCTGATTCCTCTCGCATACAGGTCAAGACGGCGAGTGGACGTTGAGGGTTCTTACCAAGAAATTCTTGATCAGTGGTTGACTTGCGGCCTTGACGCCTTCAGAGGACATGTGGTTCCAGACGAACAGGTGAAGCTGATCAATGTCACTTGGATACAGCTGCGCATGGCTATTACCTGAGTTGCACATTCTCCTTTTGAAACCAACGTCACGACACCTCGCTTCTCTACCTCAGCCTCAGGTCGCTGGAAGTGTTCTTGGAACACCCGTCTTGCTGCGTCTTCTGCGTTTTCATTCATCCTCGGCTCTGCCTCAAACGCCTCCCATCGGTCTGCATTCTTGCTCGTACTTCGCATGAAGACGCCTCCGTCACCCATGACGACAGCGAGAGATCGATGGACACATCGCGAGATCCCCATGGCGAGACGAGCTGGAACGTGAGAGTATCCGATCCTCCTAAACTCATCTCCTCCTCCTCCTCCTCCTCCTCCTCCTCCTCCTCCTTCGGTTTCTTGCATTGTCGGCTCTTCGAAGTGATCTGTCATGACGGTGTAGCCACTCCGCCGATGCCGAGGGGGTAGAACTTCACGAGAAATCGTATGAACAAAACTAGATGTATGGCAGGAAGGAGTGTTCGCAGGGGCAGGAGACTGTGAGGGGCGGGAGGGATCTGCAGAAGAAGCAGCAGCTTGCAAGCTAGAGGAGCCAGTGATCAAGGCAGACGATCGCTCACTTGCCATGATGCACAACCCCACCATCGCTACCCACCGCCATGGCCTCATTCATTGATACCCTCATCCCCTCTTATCCCCTTTTACACCAGACCCACATCCCCCCTCATCGCCTGTAGGCTTCCAGACGTTCGGCCTCAAATGCGGCGGCCTCCATGCGCAGGGGGAGAGGGGAGGGGGGGGAGGAGGAGGAAGGGGGAGGAGGGATGAGAGGATGTGGAGAAAGAAGAGCTTAAGGAGCAGAACATAATGAGGAGGATGAGATAGACCGTGAGAGATGAAGAGCAGAGGCAAGAGGATGGTTGAGATGGGAATAGAATGAAATGGAACGGGGGCAATTGAAAGAGTGTTCCTTAGGTTCCCATAGGAACTGTGTGAGATGAGGTTGGGATTATGGATATGTAGAGCATGAAGATGGTAGAAACATTGGAGATTGAGACGAGGATCATTGTTATGTATGCTTTCTGAGTCACCTTTCTGAAGGATCCGCATACTGACCAGTTTGCGCGCAGATGCAAACGTTGCACAAGGCGCTCATCTTCGCGGCAGTGATCTTCCTCTGTGTTCCTGGAACAATCCATGGCTTCGGAATCAACATTGCGAGCATCCCCTCCTTGAGATCGTCTCCTGCATCCGTCAGCAAGAATCCGATCTTCGCCTCCTCCCCATTGACCCCCCAGGTACAGGTCGATATCGTCCCCTGGTCCCCTGGTCCGCTGTAATGATGATCTTGAACTTGGCCATGCTCCTTGTTCTGCATGCTCGTGTGCTCTACTCTTGCTGCGTGCTCATACCGTCATCCTCTGACGCTCTCTACCTCTCAGCGATTCCCGTCGCTGCTGCCCCTTCGCAACAGCAAGGACGAACAAGTGCCCGAGGCCGTGAGTCACTTGCTCTCTTCCCTCCCCGCCCTGATGCCTCCTTGACGCCTTCTTGCCAGTCGGAGGAGACTGAAGCCTCGGCCGAGTCCGTCGAGGCGTCTGAGGAGCAGCTCGATACCGACTCCAAGGTAGCAGAGCAAGGGAGGAGAGAAGGGCGGGAAGAAGTTGGGGGCGAAGAAACCTACAGGGAGGCAGGGAGGCAGGGAGGTTGCAAGGATGGAGATCTCAAAGTCAGGGGGTGCGGGAGGAGCTTCTGACGCGTTCTGCGACGTGCAGGAATTCTTGCAGAGGAAGGTGGAGATTCTTCAGAAGGAGCTTGACGAGACGAGCGCTAAGGTTGGTGGAGGGCCTTGTAAGGAAGGGATGTAATGGAAGCATGCTAGTTGCAAGATCTCGAGGCCGATGCCAAGTCCCTTGAGGATCTCAAGGTTGTTTCCTCTCCCTCCTCGTCCCTGACCCTCTCCTCCTCCCTTCCCTCCTGTCCTGTCGGTTCTCCGCTGACATGCCGCAGGCGCGAGGCATTTTGAAGCTTGCATCTGCTGTGGAGCTCAAGGAAACGTAAGCAGGGAGAGGATGGGGGAAGAGGAAGGAAGGAAGGAGGGAGGGAGCAAGGAGGGAGCAAGGAGGGAGGGAAGGGAGAAGGGGAAGGGAAGGTAGGTGTGGGGGTAGGGGGGAAGGGGGAATGGCGAAGGTGGAACCCTTGGCGGAGTTGACGACATTGCAGGTACATCCGTCTGGCTGCCGACTTTGAGAACTACAGGAAGCGCACGGCATCGGATCTTGTCAGGGTGAGGAGGAGGAGCAGGAAGGAGGAGGAGGAAGGAGGAGGAACAGGTTGTTGTTGTTGGCAAGTTATGGTGGTGGAGGTAGTGGAAGGGGAAGAGGAGGAGGGTTCAGACAGGTAGACCAGGCAGAAAAGGAGGATATAGAATGGGAGTTACGCAGAGCATGAAAGTTTGAGCAGGCTAATGACATGGCGACCGTCAACGTTGTCAAGGAGCTGTTGGTAGTCCTGGACACCTTCGAGCGAGCAGGTCGACATCAATAGCTCCTCCCCCTCCCCATGCTGTCATCCCCGCCCTCCCTCTGCTATCATCCTCCCCCTCCCTCTGCTATCATCTCCAGCGCAACTGTTCCTTCCCAACCTCTCGATCCTCTGTTCACTCCTCTCTCCTTCCCTCTTCTCTTCTTTCATCGTCCTCCCTCCACTCCTCCTCGTTTTGATTGTTGGCATGCAGGAAGTGCTATCAAGTGCGAGACGGACAGGGAGCAAAGCATCAACAACAGCTACCAGGCAGTGAACAAGGAGCTCTTGAAGGTTGGGGAGGAGGAGGAGGAGGAGAGGAGGAGGAAGGGGGGGAGGGGGGGGGGGAAGAACAAGAGAAGCTATTATTGCGAAGGAGACATGAAGAGGATGAGTAACAGGAGGCAAGAGGCAAAGGGAAGAGGGAAGAGCAGGCGGAGGAGAGGAGGGAGGAGGAGAGGAGTGCTGAGGGAGGAGGGAGGAGTGTTTTGCTCATTCTTTCGTGCAGGTCTTGAACAAGCTGAACGTGGAGGCGATTGAGCCCCTCGGACAAGAGTTTGACCCCAACATGCACAAGTACATGGACCTTCCTCACTTCTCCTCCTCTCTCCACTTCTACCTCCTCCTTCCTCCTTGCTCGTCCTCTTCGTCCTTCTCATCCTCCTTGGTCTCTTACACTTCTTGCCTTACCTCCTCTATGATCTGCTCTCCTCCTTGTTCTTGACTCTCAGCTTTCAGCGCCATCCAGCAGCTCGAGTCGAAGGAGTACAAGGAGAATGTCGTCTGCCAGGCTCTGCAGAGAGGGTGAGAAAGGAGGAGGGAGAGCTCGTGAGCAGCTGACCTCTTCGTCAGGTACAAGATCGGCGATCGTGTTGTTCGTCCTGCCCTGGTTGTCGTCTCGTCCGGACCAGGACCCGAGGAATCTGGTGCTTTTTCATCCTCGCTCCTTGCTTTTCGCTCCTCCCTGCCTCCCTCCTCTTTCTCCATTTCCCTCCCAATTCCCTCCTCCCTCGCTCTTCCTCCCTCCGCCTTCTTTCCTTCTTTCTTCCTCGTCCTCTGCCTCCTCCTCCCTTCTCCCTTCTCGTTTTCTCTTTCACGCTGCTGTCGGCTCCCTCCCTGCATATTCTTCCATCCTCTTGCTAATTTCTCTTCTTTGCTTCATCCTCGTCTTCTGCCTTCTCCACCCATTGCTTTCTCTCTCGCTGCTCCACTGCCTTCATCCCTGTGTCGCTCCTTCTCTGCTCATCCTGTTCTGCTGCAGGAGAGGAGACATCAGCCCCGTCGGAGCAGTCAGAAAGCTCGGCCTAGATAACTTGCTGGGTCCGAGGTGATAGTAAAGCACACAACCAACTAATCCTGGAAGTTGAGGAGGAGGAGGGAGGTGTATGAGGGAGGAGATGAAGAAGGAGGAGGCGGAGGAGGGGGAGGGTGGAAGGAATCTGGTAGTTGCGTGGTAAGAGGAAGAGGAAATGGAGAGAATAGGAGAGAAAAAGGCAAGGAGGGAGGGGAGGAAGGCAGCGGAGGAGGTCACAGAGGGGGGGGAAGGAGAAGAGATTCTTGTAGGCGACAAGTTTGAGATTTAATTTCCTTTCATAGTGACTCACTTCCATGAACACTGCTCGTTTCCATTCGGCCCCTCCTCCTCCTCCTCCTCCTCCTCCTGCCCTGCCTGTGTCTCTTTTCTCTCCTTCTCTCCCCTTTCCCCATGGCTCTTTCACTGTCTCGCTGTCATTCGATAGCTACATCCAGCTGCTGCTGCTGCTGCTGCTGCTGCTGCTGCTTCTGCTGCTGCTGCTTCTTCTCCTCCACCACCTGCTAGTGTGCGGGCGAGTACAACCCCAGCTGTGAGGCCACGTAGGATGACGAGGGAAGATAGTCCAGCTGCCTGCTGCCGTAATTCTGACCAGCTGCGGCAATCTCAGCTAAAGTCACTTGAGGAGGAGGAGGAGGAGGAGGAGGAGGAGGAGGAGGAGGATGAAAGAGATGATGTGAAGACACGTGGGGGCATCGAGTGCGTAGAAGGAGCAGGGGAGGAGGAAGCTACAGACCGGAAAGCGTGGAGAAACGAGAGAACGGTAGGAGTGTCGACGTTGTGTTGAAGGTGGCGAGCTTGTCCTCCTGGTCGAGGCTCTGGCTGTCCACATAGCGGACCTTCTTGCTGGATGTGGAGGAGGCGGCGGAGGAAGGAGGGCGGGGAAAAGGGGAAGGTATGTAGTACCTGGAGGGGGGGAGTTAGTGAAGGTGAGGGAGAGGAGGGAAACGAAGGAACGAAGGGGATGGAAAGAAGGGAGGAGGGACAGGAAGAGGAGCAGACAAGAAAGCAGCCAAGGGAGGAGGGACAGGAAGAGGAGCAGACAAGAAAGCAGCCAAGGGAGGAGGGACAGGAAGAGGAGAGAAGAGAAGCGGAGGTGTGGGGAGGTTATGGGATGAGATGGGAGGAGGGGAGAGGAGGAGTTGTTCACCTCAAAAATAGGATAGGAAGTAGGCAGACAAACCCTGCTCCTATGATGGGCAAACCAACTTCCGGGCGATAGCTGAGGAGAGAGTGAGAGAGAGGAGACAGTCAGTGAGATAGGAGGAAGGAGGGCAGATCAAAGGGAGGTAGATGAAGAAGGGCATGGAGAGGGATGAAGAAGAGGTAGAGGAGAGAGGAGGCGACTGAAGGTGGAGGAGGGAGGCGGAAGAGGAAGTGGGGAGGGGACGGAGGGCGGATGTAAGGAGGGAGGGAGGGAGGGAGGGAGGGAGGGTGGGAGGGAGGGAGGAACATCAAAACATTACGAGGTAATGACGGCTCCTCCAACGACCCCCCAGAGGAAGAGGCCGACGAGGAAGAAAGCAGCGTAGATGGAAGAGCAGAAGAATTCGCGAAGAAGCATATCTGAAGCCCACGGTAAGCACTTGACTCTCCTCCTCCTCCTCCTCCTCCTCCTCCTCCTCCTCCTCCTCCTCTTTTTTAACTTCTCTGCCTCTCCCCACTTGACCCTCCTCTTCCATTCCTTCTCCACTTCTTTTCAGCATCCTCTCACATTCCCCTTGCTCTCATCGCCTCCTCCTCCTCCTCTCCATCTCCTCCCCGTTTCTCCCTCCCTCCCTCCCTCGTCACCTCGGTAAAGAATCAGCGGGGCTGTTCCAACGCCGAGCTGAGAAACTCATCAGCAGCTGAGGGCTAGCTGGAGAAAGACGTCACCCCCGCTATGACGATGGAGAAGGCGCGGACGGGACCGACGACGGTCTGATCAGCTCGGCTGTTTGACTGAAAGGAGACAAGTCATGATGTGCAGAGAAGGGGAGGGGAAGAGAGGAGAGATGAGGAGAGGAGAGGAGAGGGGAAGAGAGGAGAGATGAGGAGAGGAGAGGAGAGGAGAGGAGAGGAGAGGAGAGGAGAGGAGAGGAGAGGAGAGGAGAGGGGAAGAGAGTGGGGAGAAGTGAGGTAAGGTGATAAAGAGAAGAGGAAAGAAACGGAAACGGAGGGGAGAGGAAGGGAAAGAGAGGAAGAGGACGGGGAAAGAGGGGGCACCGATGCCATGCTTGTCGCGTTCACAGCTCCGGCGACTGCGTTGTAAAATTGTATGTTGAGATAATTGCTTTTCTGCTCATTGCATTCAATACAGGTGAAAACAAGGGGAGAGGGGAGAGAGAGGAATTTAGAGAAGAGACTGCAGAGGAGAGAGAGAGGAGAGGGAGAGGAGTGGAGCGATGAAGAGGAAGGAAAGAAGATCTTGAAATCGCAGCTCACCCATACTGAGAATGTAGATCC